TATTTTAGTTAAATTGCCCAACTGCGTCGAGGGTCAGCTAGATAGACAGGCAGGCAAGCAAACAAATAGACGAACAGACAGGCGGACATTGAGATAGACAAGCGAACAGGCACTCATACCGCATAAGCGCTTTTATGGAATTCGTTTAGCTGCAATGAGTACTGTATACGGACCTTGGGTTCAACTATTATAGCTGTGCTGACAGCTCAGCTGGCAGTCTTTGAAAACTGTGAAAGTTTAAAATATGCACACATTTTTCCAGCGTTTGAACAATTTTAAATTTAATTATACATTTTTAAAAGGAAAAGTTAATTTATTATTTATTTATTTTAAAGTAACTATTTTTTTTTTTTAATTTAATTTTATTTAATTTATTTTAATATGTTAAAATTCTACAAATTGCTTATTATTAATAATATTATTAATTCTTAAATAACTGAATTTATATTTACTGAATTCATATTCTCTTAAATTTAAATTTAAGTTAGAAAATATAAATATAGTTTAATAAAAATTTATTTAAAGTTACATTTTTAAAAATATTCAAACTGTCTACGGACATGTTTTAGCATACATTTATATCACGAAGTAAAATGAGTATATTGGCTTGGTGCATTGATGGTATGAAACCATTTCGCTGCTTTTGAAGCTTGCGACTTGCAAAAGTCTTGTAAGCTGTTAAGACTTATTCGTTGCACCCACCAGGAGCTTGGCACTTTGACATAAGCCGTATACTCTACAGCTTAACAACTAGAAACACAAAATATGTTAGCTAAGTTACCGTGGACTTCGGCTTGAGTGTGAGACTAACTTAGTAATACCCAAATCGGAAGCGACTTTATCTTTCTCAGCAACTGAAATAACAAATTTTAAGCTGAATATAGTTTTTTAACTATAAATAGATTTGTATTTTCTAAATTGAATGTTTTTGGATAATAAATGAAGTCGATTGCGCCTGGCTGCAACGCTCTTACATATTAGTATTTGTATATTAAAATTTAATTTTAATTTAACTTATTTATGTTATATAATTTTAATAAGCATTAAAATATTTGTTATATATATTTTTATATAATAACATACTTTCTAAATATTTTATGAATAATACAAATTTCTATTTTGACTAAAGATTTAATTCAAATATCAGACAAATTTTATTTATTTCTATTTACTTATATATTAAAATATATATTGTCTAATTTAAATTTGATTATACAAAACTTTGATTATACATATATTACTCATATTTTTATTTGTTGTTAAATATATTTGATTTAATAATATAAAATATATGATTTAGACTGTCAAAGTTTTTTCGTTCATTAAAACAGATTACAAAAACGGGTTAGCTCAAACGCAAAGACCACAAGCACAAAGCAACAGCATTTGGGTCAGAGGTCAGAGCGTTGCCAGACTGCCAAACTGTGGCCACTTTGAAACACAAATGTTATATAATTTTGTAAATTACTGCAGCTGGAAATTAAGGCGGCCAGCGCTCTAATGGCCAAAAGACCACAATTCGAAACCGGCCTCTTGTCATTGATTTCTGGCATTCGAGTTTTTCGTGATTGAGCGACAGTTGCAGTATGAGAATCGGGTAATAGGACAGCGGGACATTTGGACAGTTGGACAATCGGACGATGGCACGTGTTTCGGCCATTTGGCATAATTAACGCGCAAATCATTTTGTGGCACAACGCGAAAGTTGGAATTCTGCCTTCGGCCATATTGACGTTTGTCAATTTAATTACAATTTATTTTTGCACATTTTAAGAATTGTTTTTGTTATTTGCTGTTGTTGCGTGTTGCTTGTTGGGTAATGCGAACAATTTGGCATGTTTTGCGGTCTTCATTTTGGCGCATTGTTTAATTTATTTTCAAATTTTGTGTTTTGCGGCAATGTGTTTGTTGCTCGTTTTTGAATGTTGTTTGATTTGCATTGCGGCTGCAATGGAATTTTCTTACTTTTTTATTTTTGGTTGGACTGCTATTTAATGTAGATTTAATGCAATTAAATTGCTTAAAATAATTATTTATTTTGACAACGTAAGAATATTGATATAAATTCAATTTTGTTACGGATAATTTCAATAAAATTATAACATTTATTTTGTTAAAAATAATTCAATTCAAAATATAAAATTGTTCAATTTATTTTGTTGAAGATAATTTAATTTTAATAATAAAATTATTAAATTTATTTAGCTAAGGATAGTTTCAAGAAATATATAAAATTGTATTATATTGTATTTATCTTGTTAAAGATAATTTCAATAAAAATAAAATATTGAAGTCAGATGAAATGTCTACTCGTAAAACTCTTAAACAAACTCTTCTTACAAAGCTTATCTTTAGTGATATGAATATGATGTATTTGTGTGAACAGCGTTGTTCATAAAAATAGCACTAAATGCTGAACAGCAAAATGAGATAATAATATTGAAAAAATTTAAATAATACTGCGTAATTCGTAAAATTAACTTGTGTAATTTAATTCAGTTTTCTATAAATATTTTCATAAAGTGCACTAGATTTGAATGAGTGTCAAAACGTTTACGGTGCGCAGAGCTTACAGCGTTTTTTGACCGCTAAAAAAAGTCAAATACCTGATTTTAGTGGCGTTCAACAAATTGACCCACTTAAGCTAATCCGCGTACAAGTCCAATTAATGCAAATTAAGCAGAGCAGCGCCCAACCGCCCCCGCACAAAAAGCCGGAGCTAAAAGCCACGCATAAGATTTCAGCTGCTCGCCCCGCTTTTACAATTGAGGTTTTCGTTGGAACAACTCTGACGACAACTCGTACAACATAATAAGGCTTATGCCAGTGACTTTTATAGCCAAGTGGCGCGCCAAGCCGCCACCCCTCACCCCTCGCCCCATGCCCTCATAGAGCAGCTCCCATTTGCGTGCGTCGCTAATTAGTGTAAAATGTTTCCTGTTATTTACCTTTTTCGGTTTTTGCAACAAAACAAACGACAACGCGGCCTAATTGTAAATGGGCAACAGCCAGCTGCGAGGGCGGCAATACAAGTTGCTGCAGCCCAGGCAGGATGGCGAAATGTTAGTGAATTGCTCCTATATCACTAACCGGTCTCGGTTACGGTGTCGATTTTATTATTTGTGCGCTCGCTGACGTGACCTGTGTTCCTAATAAATAAATAGTCGTATTTATTTTGCAGTTGTAATCAACGCAATGCCAAAAACAAAGACAAAATCAGCGCTAATTAACTCAAGGCCTGAATGGAAATAAAAAAGCAACAACAACAACAATAAGCAGCTCCTGGCTAAATGTCCTGCTGCTTAGCATGCAGAACATCAACTCGTTCGACTCGACTCGGTGTCGCGTAAATTGCATTTTAAAATAAATTATAATGATTATTATGTTACAAACAACAGATGTCAGTCGGGCCATGGCATCTACTCTGTCAGCCAGCTCCCTCTCTCTCTATCTCTGTCTCTCTTTCTGCCCTTTTGTTGTCTCGCTGGCAGCAATTTAGCCCGTTTGCCACTTTAGTCTTATGGGCCGCGCATAAAAATGTTAACTGAACAACATTAACGCTAGCATTTTATGACGCTGAACTTAATATTATTAAATCAGCGATGAGTTTATGAAGCGCTAAACGCGTCTGTGACTGGTCATGAATCCGTTGATAAGACTGAAGATTAATGTGAGTGGCAAAGAGCCAAAAGTTATGCTATTTGATGCTGCACAGATCTCTGAGCCGGCCTTAGAAGAACAAAACATTTACGAATACAATACAGAGAGAATATGAAAATTTTGCTGACATACTTTCAGATTAATGGAGCTGATAACAATTAAAATTTACGCTATCCACTTTTCCAGTCCATATTTCCAATTGAGTTCAGAAAGTGAAGTATAACGTTTACGAATACACATACAAAAGGCACATGATAACGAATATGGATACATTATATAGAGCGAGCTAGTTAGGTCTAGGCTATACATCAACTATCGCCTTAGCTGCTAAGTCAGTAAAACATTTACGAATGCAAACACAATGTGCAAATGAAAAAAACTAAGCTCAAGTTGAAAGTATGTGTATTAGTATTAGTTTTTATACTAAATCAATGAACTCGTTGTTCAGCGCCAAATAATATTACTGCTGCTTGCCTAATATGTTGATTCTTTTGATGAAGATTTAGGCATCTGAGCTAGCTATGACTAATGTAACGTACAGTTAATATACTTAAGAAAAGTTATAGAAAAAGAATATGTAAACTTAAAAGAGAAAGATTAAGACACTTATTTATATATATATAAATTTATATATATATAAATTTATATTTATATATGTATATTTATATGTATATATATGTAAATAATAATTGATAACCAATAAATATATAATAAAAGTGATAGCAATTTAAAAACAAGTCACAAAGCTGTAGTCGAAGTGCCGACTGTGAGATGCTCTGCGAACCTTCTCTAAGAGCACATTTAGATATGCTTAATTTGAATTTTAAATTTAATAAATGTGGGAAATATTCCTCTAGCTACATTTTGGAATTTAGCTTGTGATGAAATTCAATGATATGATAAAAGTTATCGATAAATTGGTAACCAATGACTAATGAAGGAAGTGTGTCTGCTATTCTATGCTTATATATACACGGAAATGGGTACATAGGTTATTGATCCTAATAAAGAAAATATCTTAAATCAATATATAAAGTCTGTCTGTACACTATCTCAAAAGCAATATACTCTAAATGCTTCTTTGCACAAGGCTTCGAGTAATCTTTAGTATAAAACACTGTTCAACAAATTGAATATGCATAGAAAGCGTAACACTTAAATAATATATAATTTGTAAAAGCTGAAGACAATGCTGACAAATATAAACCTGTTCAAGCGGATTCTCGTTTCTCTTTTTTCAAGCATAATTTTTGTTAGACAGTGTAAAATTTCAAGAACTTAATCTTGCTTACAGCTGAGCCTGGAGAGCAAATCGTTTTCATTCATTAACTGCAGCGAGACGATGCGACGTGGAAGTGTCTTAAAAATGAATATAAAGTTAATAATTTTTGTAATTTGTGCACTAATTGAAGCTATTTACGGTGATGAGTTGGTGAGCTGAACTAAATGCATTTTTAGTTCAAAGTGAAGAATTCATAAAACATAATCATTTTTAGAGTTGTGCCGATGAAAGGAAATTGGGAAACACATGTGGAAAGTATTGTTATCGTATCGTCAAGCCACTTTTACAGCACTTGGCTAAGATGTCAATAAAAGAGCAGGAGTTTGAAAACCTATTGAAAAAAGTTCATGAACAGGAGATAATTATTAAAAATTTGCAATTAGAGAATGCTAGATTTGAGAACCAAACTCCATTGTTATCAGCATGCAAATCTGAGTTGGCTGCTAAGGATGCGCTTATCGAATACAGGAAAGCTGATATTAAGAGTCTGGAAAGTGATATCCAGGACTGTAAGTTTCATGCCAGAGCAAATATCTTCAGACTGGAAGAGCAGTTGAAGACGAAAGATAATTCCATTGACCCGAAGGTCTCGAGTTGTTCGACAAGTTCAAGCGACATAGAAGAGGCCAAAGTTTATAATATCAAGAGCTTTGCAGTGTCTTGTGATTCGAGGCTAGCCGGTTCGGGTTGGACGGTTATTCAGAGACGTCAGGATGGCAGCGTTGACTTCAATCGCAAGTGGAACGAATATCGTCTAGGATTTGGCCAAATCCAAGGCGAGTTCTTTATGGGACTCGAGAAACTACATTTGCTCACCAGTTCCCAGCCGCACGAGCTCTACATATATCTGCGAAATATTGCTAACGAAACACGCTTCGCTCGCTACGATTACTTTCTTATCGCCGACGAGACGGAATCGTTCAGACTGCAGTCATTGGGCAATTATACTGGAAATGCAGGTCATTCACTCTTTAGCCATGTTGGTTCAAAGTTCTCTACAATGGATCGCGATAATGATAGCTCCGATTTCAATTGCGCAACTGAGTGGTTGTCTGGTTGGTGGTACAAAAGCTGCTATGACTGGTAAGACAGGCTTATTGTATAAGCTATGCAAACCCTTTTCAACTCTTCAATCTTTCCAGTAATCTCAATGGTGTATACAAAGATGTCTCTAACAACGATGGAATTAAATGGTTAACCTGGAACACTACGTCATCAATATCATTTGTGCAAATGATGATTAGACCGAAAAGTCTCTAAGACTTCAAAAAATGAAAGTATATTTTAAATAATCAGATTCAATTATATATTTAATTTAAATTGTATACAGTTCAATGGAGAAATAAAAAAAATCTGTATCTAAATCTGATTTCTGCTGAGGAATATTTTTTGGTGTTTTACTTCTTGATTGTTGACACGACTCTAAGCCACCTTCTGCTTCAAAAATATCAATATGTCCTGAATTTAATTAAGTAATATATTCAGCTACTAATAACGACATGGAAATAGCCTGTACCCTACCCTGCTGTTCCTTAGTAATTCCTTATGGTTTTCATTCTCCATATAAACATTCTTGTAGCTATTGATAAGCTCATTCTGAAGAGCCAATTGCTTATCCTTTGAGTCCAGATTTACATCTTTGGCTGCAGTCAACTGAAGCTGAAGAGCCAATTGCATATCCTTGGCTTCAATCAACTGCAGCTTGGCAGCCAATTCTTTGTCTTTAAGCTCAATTGTTTTCTGTTGATCTGCTATAGTCTGAATATATTCGTCAACTTTAATTTGTATTTCTGCTAGAGACTTCTCCTTCACGAGCATAGATGAGGCGTGTTGAAGAAGGGGCTTCACAACCGTGTAGCAGTACTTACTGCACTGCGTATCTAATTCTCTCTTAGCCTTGCACTCCTTTAATAGTTATTATTGAACATTAATGTGTATGAGTGATGTGTAATTACTTACAGGACTTTCCATTGCAACGCAGCTCAAAGTTGATATCAATATCATGAACATGCAACAGACCTTGATGTATTTGTCCATTCTAAATAAAGCAGAATTTGCAACTTTTTCACAATTAAATTTATTTCGGACTGATCCAAGCTCCTCACTCATCTTAATAAAGAAACCTCGTATTTCGCAGCTTATAAGTTCTTATCATTTTCTCAATTGACGTCAGCAGTTGGAGGAAGAGGCGTTATCAAATAGGAACTTCTGACACACGAAATGGACAAAAATTCCCACTTGATATTGCAAGCGGGTCTTAAAGCTAAGCTTATCAAAGTCAAACGCTTATATATGAGAAATCAGAGGTATCAAAATAAAATATTTTAACAAATATATTTATTTATTCAAGGTGCTCCATAACTTGTATCTATGTCTCTCTATGTTATATGGCACTCATTGCAATGGCATATTCATACGATGCACATTCCATATAGATCAGATAGTAAACTCGACTAGAGCCCTCTCACATTTATAATCTCTGCTAAGTTGACATCATACTAGGCATGGTCTATGCATGGGTTTATATAATTTCTAGCTGGCCATGTGCACATTTCGATACATGCGACCGCTACATGAGCATGTTTTTATAAACTGTATGGTTAATATTCTGTTGGCCCACAAGCATAACGGTATTAAATGTAAATTATGCAGGACATGACACATAATCAGCGAACGCAGCACCGAAGCGACGTGTGCACTTTGGTAACCACATCGTGTAATTAAGTAAATATTTTTGTACATATTTGTGCTTCTATATATGTATATATATATATATATATATATATATATATATATGTTTTACTTTTGCACCTGGCAAGCGCTATGGCCATGAACAGAGATAGCCGTAGCACAGACAGAAAGAGAGAGACAGATCGACAGCGACAGCGAGAGCGAGAGCTGTGTGTAAGAATTTCATGCTGAAGCGTTGCATATTTGTGGCGTATGTTGCATGCAAATGGGTTTTTACTTTATTGGCCGCCATTCGCAGATTTGCAACATAATTAAAAGAAGCGAATGGTAATGGGCAATGCGCCAAATTAAGTATACGCCACGCTGGCTTCAGACTGAAGGCAGAAATGAACATAACCGCAACGACTAATAAAGCGCAGCCAAGCCAAAGCAGCTGCTGTGTGAGCATTTTAACTGTAAGTGGATTATAAGCGTATGCGTACAATTTAAATGCAATAATTCTGGCGCAAAATAAGAAGACAAATACAGCTACTACGACCATGCCAAAGTCAGCTGCAGTTGAATTTTAAGCGGTCTGGCCGCAGGTCAGTTGACTTGACATTTGGCAGACATTAAACAGAAACTGTTGGCATTAACCGCAGGCCAGGTACACCATGGTCACACACACAGAGCAGCAGCAGCAGCAGCCGTCAGTAGCAGCAGATTTCCCCAAAGACAAAGACAACATCATGGAAATGGAGACAGCAGCCAAGCAGGCGCCAGACTTAGGCCCCAGACCAAAGACAAGTTAGGCAAGCGAAACAGAGCTGAAGTTATGAATAATTAATGTCTATCTTGCTCTCTCTATGTGTGTAGGTGTGTGGCTTGTGTTGGCGTGTGCGTCATTCGTGTGAGCGAGTTGATAATTTGTTATAATTGCCGGGGGATGGCCACAGGTCAATTTTGTGGGCATTTAAATAAATTTGCCAAGACAGCAGTAAACGGCCAGGCGAAAAAGTCACAAAACTTGGATTATTTATTCAAGTAGAGTAGGAACAGAGGAAGCGAGAGAGAGGGAGTTGAAACATTTAGTTCAGCAAGAATATTGCCTTAATGCTGACTGAAAATTATTGCAATCTATATAAAGCTCTTTTTATCTGAGCTGCTTGAAAAATATATTTAAATTCCATTTCAATTTTCACTTTTTAAATGTATTTTTATGTTATTTGTGCAGAACTTGAGACTTTATCGTTCCAATAAAAATTGTTTTTTTTATAGAACGTTTTAACATATTTGTATAAAGTTTTATATAATATTTATATTTATTTTTCTCACCATTTTTTTTAGATTTTTAACTTATAATATTAGTTATATATATTTATTATATATATTTATTAATTTATATATGTTTATTAAATTAATTTGTCTAACCTTGAAATATAATACTTAATAATACATTTACGTTTTTTGTTCTAAAATATTCTAAAATTCTTTAAAATTTCAGTGCATATTTTTTTAATGCTTAAGATGGTAATATAATTTATGTTAGTTAGATAATTGTTAAAAATGAATTTCAAAATGTTTAAATAACTTCTCCCTTATATTCATTATTCTAAAGTTAACTATTTTTTTTCTAATGCTATTAATTAAAATTAAAATTAATATAATCAATATCGAAAAGCATGTTTTATATTTTAATTTGCAGCAAGTAATTATTTAACTTTCCAAATAAAACATATATGTATGTGTATTTATCAGTAACTGCAGGACATATAAATTACTTGAGATTTTTGCATGCTCCAACTTTTTATATTTCCAACATATTTTAACAAAATTTATTTACTTACGAGCCATGCTCCTGTTACGCAACTCACAACTCGTTAATAGAGGATTAACACACCTAAATTGATATTGTGGCCGATATTGTGTACGAGATCTATATTTATCTCCCAGCAACACAGTTCATATCTCTTTAAAGGCAGATATTAAGTTTGGAGTGTTTGCCTGCTCGACACTGCGCGCTCTCTCCCTCTATCTCTCTTCCTCTGTCTCTCTCTCATTAGCTCATCCACGCCCGTAACACACTTTTCGTCTGTCCAAAAACTGAAGTTTCGGGCTAAGCGTAGTTTGGCAAACAACTGGCAACTATCACAACGCCAAAGCTGTAAACATCAACTGTGATGGAAGTGGCTCGAGGTTGTGTGTTTTGCAGCCAGAAAAGGGACATAATAATAATAACTTGGCTGTCCGGAGCGTTGGCACGCCTTGCTCGAGGGGGCCTGAGCTTATGCTTGGCCATAAATACCTTAACAGCTTTTGCGTAACTTAAGTCACCTTAGCACTTAACAGGGCGTCGAGTGTGCTTGGGCGTGTGTTGGTGTTAAACGCATTAAGTCCGCATTCGCAGGTGAGAATTTTTAAGAGTCGCATTACGTTTAAGCGCGCAACAAATGCAACTATTTGCAGCTGCAATGAGTTAACTCAATAATGCACTTGGCCAAGCAGACACAAACACACACACGCACACACACTCTTTTTCGTTCAACATATGGCCAACTACTCGGCTGTCGTGTCCATATAAATGCGCACTTGTTTCAGCTTTTATTATTATTGTTTTTTGCAGTTGCTGCTTTTGTTGTTGCTGTGTTAAATAAAGTGCTTGGCAATTCATTTGCTTTTATTTTTTAAAGTTTCTGCAGCTTGGCAACAATAAATCACAGCTATTGACAGCCATGGCGTATACTTAATGTCGAGCACCCACAGCTGCCAATGACAATATGCAAGCAAATAGTCCTTCATTAATAAGCTGAGCTGTTGCTTTAAAATATTTTAAATATGAATGTGTGTGAACAGCATTTATATTCATGTAAAATTTATTAAAATATTTATTTAAAAATGGATTTAAATGTTAATATGAAAATAAAAATATATTTGGTTGAAACAAGTTTAACATTATATATATATAAGTTTAATATATTTAACAATATATTTCATATATTTCAAAAATATACATAAATTTTATAATTTAAGACAATATTTTATTTTGTATATATTTTCTGCTAGCTTAATTCAAAATTTGATTTTATATTTTAAGCACAAACTGAAATAAATTACAATTTCTATATACATATACATATACACGTTATATATATTTGCTTTAATCCCCCGTTGCACTGCAGTTGTTGCAGCAATTTTAAAGTTGCATTTCAACTATAATTTGGGTTGTTTTACGGGCACAAAAATGTCATAGCCAAATGCTCGGTGGCTCAACCTGCCACACACATAAAGGAACATGGTCTACATAATAATGCAAGCCAACCAGCCAAGCGGGCAGGCAGGCAGCCAGGCAGCCAGGCAGGCTACCTTCGCAGTTCCCTCGAGGCAGTCATCCGACCAATAGCCGCAAAAGATATCAATGAACAATCGATGGGGCTACCACCCCTTGGATGTTCGTATGCTGGGCAACTCAGGTTACAGATACATATGCACAACTTACAGCATAGATGGGGGATACAAAAGCTACAAAGACACGGTTGTCGTCGCACTGAATTTGTAAAATACGTGACAAACATTTGCAATTTGGTCAAAGTCGCAGTCGCAGTCGCAGTCGCAGTCGTTATCGTTCTCCATCTAGAGTCCTGTCACAGTTTTTCTTTCTTTTCCTTACATTCTGCTCCGATATTTACAATTCAATTGTTCTAATTTCG